AAGTTATTTACATTTCAGCACAAAACTCATACTCGCACGTTAATGTTAAGTGCATTTTTGGGAATTAAAAAATACTGTAACTTCGCAATTAGAGAACTAGATCCCAGTTTAACCCATCGCCAGAGCACTAGATACGACGATTTTCAAGAACAAACATTATGCAGTTTCCCAAAAACATCGTACCTTAACATGATTCGTATGGTTGCAGTGGAAAAATGGCAATCTGAAATGGTAATAATTAAATTATCTTGTTTTACAGATAAAATACAACATACTATTTATATCGCTGAATCAACCAAAATAAAATAGTTTACCAACAAAAATCATTTTATGTGTTAAATCAGGTAGACATAGCTCTTTAAGGTAATTACCACTTTTACATTGTGTTTAGCGATTTAATGATATGGCGAAACGCAACTCAGGCTGTTGACAACATACAGTAGGGGTGACAACATACAGTAGGGGTTAAACAGATATTTAGTAGTCAATAATTAATTAATAACATAATTGAAAATTATGTTAATCATTTTTGTAGTCACTAATTTGTGTCAATGATACACTTGCCCTGAGAAACATTCACAAGTTGTGTTTGCGGAACGATGTAGGCTATGTTAAAAGCACACGTCCAGTTTTGTGTGAGTGAAGGAAATCCGCTTGGGAGCGGAGAGCTTCGTCCTCGCGCACATGGATCGCGTAACATTATGCGCTCTCGAAATTGTCATTTAGATCACACTATAGAAACCGCCTAAAATTAGAAATTTACTAAAAACAAGCCTGGTGGGGGGGGGGGGGGGGGGGGGGGGCACCTGGGCCACCACGTAGACACGCCCCTGTATAGTTGAACACTGAGCGGATCGACTGTCTCCGCGAAAGCTGTTGTGTTTTAAAATAAAATCTTATATAACAAAACGTTCATACAGTAAATTAAAAAAATCATTGTTCATTGTTACTAATTCAGTAAAAGTATTGCTTAATTGTAAATTTAGTACACTGTCTTCGATGTCATATTTCTTGAAATCTAATTTTATATTATTAATTTCAAAAATAATTTTATTGCTTGTGACTATTAATATCACATCAATATTTCCTTATAAAATATTATTATTCTGTATAGAAAATGAAGTAATTAAAAAAATAATAATACATGTTTTCCCTGTAAGATGAGAATGTTACTTTATAGAATATCTTCAGCCCTTTCAATTCCACCAAGACAATTTTTTTTAGTAAATCCACGTCTTGGCTTCTTGCAGTAGAGGATTATATTAATACTGGATTTACTGAAATAAATATTCTCACAATATTCCATTTTATGGTATATTAATGAACGCCTTCGAATTATAAAATAGCTTGGTTTTGTATATTTTAGCTTTAAATGGTCAGCCTCTCTCCAGGAATAAAATCATTCATGAAGAATGCACAAAAATGTAAATAATATTTTTTATAATAATATTATGGCCTATTTGTCTTTAAGCTCTACAATCAGTAAGCTTAATTACTGGTTTGATGAATAATGCAGGGATTCAGTCAACCCGATCTCATGAAAGTGCGTATCAATAGCATCAGTTTATGTTTCGATTTGGCGTACTATTTATATGCAGAAATTGACTTTGGCATATGATACACTATGGGTAGGATTAGGGTTGTGGGGTAGATGCGTATCATATG